TCCAGTGCCGTCCCACAAGAATTGCAGCATATATGTGGTGCCCAGCTCTTGTCCTGGTCTCCTATCTTGCAGCCAAAATACAAGTTGTAGGCTTTCTTAATCATTCCTGTTATCCTCCTTTTTTGTGAGATAAAAGTTATTTCACCGCAGATATAGCAGAAATTATCTGCTTTATTCACACAAGTTCGAGGCATTACTGAGTAGCCTATATCAGCATAAAACGAAATGTAAAGACGCTGTCGAACTACAATCAGCTACAGATACTGCAGCTTTTATGCAGTGAAGTGATGCAATTAAAAGCTAATATTGCATCATCTCAGTATACATGCAGTTTTCTATTGGTCACCAGTATCAATTGCGCAATATGCAGCTGAAGTTGCATCATAATTTTGAATGGCTTACGTCATTAGATGGGTGAATATATCATGGAAACTAGAGCCAATCAACATTTTTTAGGGTCATTTTCGTTTTCAGCACCCCAAAATTATGTAAGATTAGCTAATTTTATGCCCAAAACCTTTTACCTGTTGAACAGTGTAATCGGATCGTTAGTACACAGCTTTCGAGAGCTGATCACAACAATTTGTGCAACAATATCCGAAGGGACAAGCGCAAAAAAAAATATTCTCGTACGATACCAGATCATACGATTTTCGTTTAGTCAGTACAGTAGTCATCTGAAAATACAATACAAATACAATACATGACATCACTTTTGAAATTCTTTTCTTTCATAGGAGAATTTTCGTATCTTTAATAACCTTTTCACTTTCGATGCGAGACTAGCAGGCAAAAAAAAAAAGGGCGATCGTTTGTCCGATATTCTCATCGTGTGTATGGGGCTGTAGGCATTTTTGGAGATCTAGTACTTTCGCAATACACTAAAAGATTGCTACGGATATATTTCTATGCTAAAAAAATGATTCTGTTGTCCTGGAAGGGATCAAGTTGACCCACAGTGGCTTCTTGGCTTAAACTTGTTAATGATTCCCTTTCCCTGTATAAACTTACTTTTAAGCTCAGGAAAACATCCATAGTGTTCCACAAAATATGGGACAGATGGCTTTCCAATCCCCTTACTTTGTCCTGTACAGATCCATTACCTTGAGTTCTTTTCTACCTAAGTTTAGTTATGTATAGTTCACCCCCCCCCCCTTTTTTTTTTTTTTTTTTTTTTACTGGAGTACATTCATTCACTTTGCTGTATACTTTGGCATGTTAGACCTGTACGGCAATGTGAGATGTTTTGACTGTTCACTGTTTTAATTGTTGGACCTTGGTCCTTGGTTTTGTATTTCTTGTATGTCTTGTGTTAAAACTCAATAAATATATATTTAAAAAAAAGAATGTCTTGGTACAGTTTTCCATTCATCCTTCCTTAAATGACAAAGTTTGCCAGTACTGTATGCTGAAAAACAACCCAACACCATGACGTTCCCACCTCCAAACTTCACTTTCGTTATGGTGTTTTTGGGGTGATGTGCAATGCCATTTGACCTCCAAACATGGTGTGTATTATGGCATCCAAAGAGTTCCATTTTGGGCTCATCTCACCAGACTATATTCTCCCAGTATTTCACAGGCTTGTCTAAATGTTGTGCAGCAAACTTTAAACACGCTTCAACATGCTTTTTCATCAGCAAATGGAGGCTTGCATGGACAGTGTGCATACAGGCCATGGCAGCTGAGTGCATTACTTACTGTTTTCTTTGAAACAATTGTACCTGCTAATTCCAGGTCTCTCTGAAGCTCTGGCTTCTGGACAACTCTTCTGATAATTCATTTCAGTCCTGTCAGAAATCTTATGAGGAGCACCTAGTCGTGGCCATTTTATGGTGAAATTATGTTCTATCCACTTCCGGATTATGGCCCCAATAGTGCTCACTGGAACATTCCGAAGTTTATAAATCCTTCTGTAACCAATGTCATCAGTATGTTTTACAACAAAAAGGTTGCAAAGGTCTTCAGTGAGCTCTTTGCTTTTACCCATCATGATATGTGACGCCTTGGAAATGAGACACCTTTTTATAGGCCATCAGTTGAGACTAATCAGTTGATATTAATTTGCACTAACAAGGGGCAGGATTGCTCTCTAATTACTGATAAATTTTAGCTGGTGTCTTGGTTTTCCATTCCTTTTTGCACCTCCCTTTATTCATGTGTTCAATACTTTTTTTCCTGTGTCATTCCATTATTCCATTATTATTACAAATAACTTAATTTCTGAACTTATTTGCTTTGGTCTCTTGGTATGTATGCATGGATTGCATGGGTTGTTACCGACATGTGGTGAAAATGTCATGTCAATAGCACCTTTAGAAATATATTTACCAAGAAAAATGGTGACATGTTCAATACTTATGTTACCCGCTGTATGTGACTGGCTTCTTCTGGGTCTGAGAGCACATGCATGCACACCCCCTGCTGGCCCACGCTATGATTGGGCACAGCGTGATTTTGTACAGTGAGTGTACAGTATTAGCACTGATCACTGTATCAGTGTCACTATTGATGTCAGTGTCAACTTGGCCTTGTGCTTAGGGTCATTGTCGTGCTGGAAAGTCCAAGAGCGTCCCATGAGAAGCTTTCGTGTAGAAGAATGCAAATTGTCTGCTAGTATTATTTTCTGATAACATGCTGCATTCATCTTGCCATCAATTGTCACAAGATTCCCCATGCCCTTTCAAGCTCACACCCTCCCAAAACCTCACTGAACTACCCATCAAGCTTTACAGTGAGGATAGCATTCTTGTCCCTATAGGCCTTGTTGACCACTCTACAAACATAGCGCTTATGGTTGTGACCATAAAAGCCATATTTCGGTCTTGTCACTACAGATTACAGTGTGCCAGAAGCTGTGAGGTGTGTCAAGGTGCTGTTGGGTATATTGTAACTGGGCTTTTTTGTGCAATTAGCGCAGTAAAATATTTCTGGTAACTTGACCATGCAGCTAATTTTTGTTCAAGTATCATCGTATTGTACTCCTTGAAACAACCACAGTCTTTTTCCAGAACAGCCTGTATTTCTACTGAGGTTGCCTGTGGGTTTTTCTTTGTATTCTGAACAATTCTTCTGGCAGTTGTGGCTGCATTCTTTCTTGGTCTACTTGACCTTGGCTTGGTATCAAGAGATCAGTACTGACTGGAGTAATCGAGGCTTTGGATACCTTTTTATATACTTTTACATCTTTATAAAGTTCCATTACCTTGCTACGCAGGTCTTTTGACAGTTCTTTTCTGCTCCCATGGCTCAGTATCTAGCCTGCTTGGTGCATTCATGTGAGCTAACAATCCCATTGATTATACACAGACATTAATTGCAATGTAAAAAGCCACAGATGTGGGAAATGAACCTTTATTTGCCATTTTAACCTGTATGTGTCTGTACCAAGGTCAAACACTCCAGGGTAAGTAAACTTTTGATTAGGGCTATTTGGGCGATTTCTGTTATCATTATGATTTAAAAAGGAGCTAAACACCTATGTGATAATAAATGGCTTCATATGATCACTATCCTTAAATAAAAGCCCGTTTTTTTTTTGGCATTAACAGTCATATTTTCAATATCAATGCCAAAATTTCACAATTTCTGCCAGGGTATGAAAATTTTGGAGCATAACTGTATGATAACAGAAAGTAGAAAATATTGTTTATTTTTGTCAGAATTTTCGGTAGTTTTTGGTTTACATAATAAAAAAAAAAAAAAATCAGTGGTGATCAAATACCACCAAAAGAGAGCTCTATTTGTATGAAAACAATTATATATATTTAATTTTCGTACAGTGTTGCATGACCACGCAATTACCAGTAAGAATAGCGAAAAATGGCCTAGTCATTAAGGGGGTGAGAACCTTCCCGGTGCTCAAGTGGTTGAAACAGAACTCCAGGAATTGTAGCACTTGTAAGCTATACTTCCGGCAATAAAAACTTGGTCTTGAGAGTGGATTATATCATCCCTCCTAGGGTGGGAGGGTTGTCTTCAAATCTGTATTTGTCTTGTATCAATTAGTCTAATTGTTTCAATCAAGCAGTTACCGCCCCCACATTTGGTTTGAGGGGCTGAATCATTATATATACACCACATTTATTAAATTTTTTATGTACTGCATGCTTTGAGGAAAGCTTTCGCCGAAATGCATCAGCATCAGTAGATCCTGTGCCAAGAAGTTGTAACCAATAAATGAATTACATGGAGAAGCATCCGTGTAGCCAGCTGCATCCTTTTGAAGAGTACCATGTGACTAGTGAACGTTTAAAGCCCGAGCACTGGTCTCCAGATTTTACCAGGAAAATAGCAGTAGAGAGTTCAGTTTCTCATGCAGAATACCATCCCTGAATGCACATCATACCTTGAAGCAGATGGGCTACAGCAGCTGCAAAACACAACGGGAGCCACCACTCCTGTCAGCCAACAGGAAACTTAACACAGGCTCACCAAAATTGGACAATAGAAGATTGGAAAAAAAAAACGTTGCCTGGTCTGATGAGTCTCGATTTCCCTAGAGATGGTTGTGCATGAAAATCCCAGTAGATCAGCAGTTTTTTAAACTCAGACCAGGCTGTCTGGCACCAACAATCATGCCACGTTCAAAGTCACTTAAATCCCCTTTCTTCCCAATTCTGATGCTTGGTTTGAACTTTAGCAGGTCGTCTTCACCATGTCTAGATGCTTAAATGCATGGAGTTGCTGCCATGTGATTGGTTGATTGGCAATTTGTGTTACCAAGCAATTGAACAGGTGTACCTAATAAAGTGGCTGGGGAGCGTATACCTTGTTGGACTTAACCCCTCATAAACCTGCAGATTTTTTAAAATAGGCCCATAGTACAAATGTAAAAATTGCTCTGGTCCACAGAGGGTGTTGCAGGTGTGAGAACTGGACGCAAAAAAATGACCATCTTCCAAACCAAAGTATTCCTCAAACTGACCACCTCACTGCACAAAAGCAAATACAAAATGACCAATAAACAGAATTGTACCAATGTGAAACATTAATCTTACCTTTCTTTACGCAGTATTTCCCTCTCTTCCCGTAAACTGCTGGCATCAGGAGTGCATACTCCTTCCTGAACCCTTGTAAACACCTCCATACCTGGGTGGCTGCGGTCTATATCAGGAGTGCTGATTGGAGTGGAGGTAAAACATATCCTAGATTTGGAATTTACATCATTAAGAGGAGTTGGATTGATCCTTCGCGATGGCTTTGATTTGCTGAGGAAAACAAAATTTTAAAAAGGATTCAGAAATACTCATTTAAAAGCCCAGATGAACCTTTAGTTTAACCCAATTACTGTTACGGACGTAAAGGTTACGACAGAACAGAACTGCTAACAACAGACTGGTTCAGCAACCCTTGAGCAAACATGAACTTATACACAAGTGATACCTGACACTTTGCTCTCATGCAAATGGCAACTAACCAGCAGCCAATTCACATCTACAAAATCTGTAAAATATGGCTGCCCCTGTACCCAGCTATGTGGATGTGATGTGTGGTGGTTGTCTACATTAGTTCTCAGCAGTACAAGCACCAGCCACTTCATTAGCCATTATGCAGGCATCTCTTGTACCTGACAAAGACACAACTCCTATGTCAGGGTGCCAGGTCCTGCGCTCTGTGAATATGATCTGACAGCTAATCACATTGACAGCATCTCTTTCCCAGCCTGTCATATGAATGACTATCAGGATGACAGGTTTAATGTGATTGTTAAGGTTCAGATTTGTTTTAAATAACTTGTCATACTTACCTGGTCTGTGAAGTGGTTTTGCACAGAGCATCCCCGATCCTTCTTTTCTCGGGTCCCCTGCCGACACACCAGACCCCTCCCCCTGCTGAGTGCCCCCAGAGTACATTTCAGTACAGATGCGATTTTGACATCTCTCTCTCTCCACAATAGCCTCCCAATTGAGTTCAATGCAAAATGCCTCCCATTGACTTCAATGTAAAAATACCTGTCAATAGCAATCCTATGTGAACACTTATCTCCACATGCCCTTTTTGTAACGACACTCAAAACGCAATGCGTGTGGATTGCATTTGTGTGAACCACCTCAATAGGAACATGTAATTTCAAGCCTGTCATGTGAATCTGTGCATTTTAAAAACACATCCAGGATCACTTATGTGTGAACCAGGGCGGCTCAAATCACACTAGGGCGTTTTGGGATCACTGCATAATCACTGAAATTCTGCCCATGATCGCAAAATGTAGGTTCAGGTGCCATTATTTTTTTAGGCACCTAAAAAGTGGTGCAGTTTTGCCAAGATAGCTGTGCGGCAAATTGCATCGCATGGAGCGTCTCCCAAAAGAAGCTCCTGCTTCTTTTTGGGCATCAAGCTTCACGCGATGCGATTTGCCGTGATTGCCATGCAGACAACTGAGGCAAAACCACACTGTGTTTTAGGTGCCATTGAAAATAATGACATCTAAACCTGCATTTTACGATTGTAGTCCATTTTGAAAATGCAGGCAGAATCACAGAGATTTTGACGCAACTCTTAAACACCCAGGTGTGAACGGGGCCTAATGGAGCAGACACTGGAGCTTGATTTGGTGGCTCAGCAGGAGCTAGTACTGAGCACCCATGTGTTTCCATGTGCAAGGGTAACCTGAAGGAACAAAGTTTTTTTTTTTTTCATTGAGGCTGGTGCCTTATTACTTGCTCAGCTGTTGCGCTTCTGCTGTGCATTAACCACTTGCCGTCCGCCTGCTGTTTATAAACGGCAGGGCGGTGGCAGTCCAGGGGTGGGTTGCACCCGCTTTTCTAGATGTGCGCGCTCCCTGGGACGTTTTCATTTACATAGCAAAAAAAATTAAAATCCCAGCGGTGAATAAATACCACCAAAATAAAGCTTTATCTGTCTCAAAAAAATGGTAAAACATTCATATGGGTACAGTATTGCATGACCGCGCAATTGTCATTCAAAGTGTGATAGCGCTGAAAGCTGAAAATTGCCCTGGACAGGAAGGGGGTAAAAGAGCCCGACACTCCCCTTTTATGACGAACACCCAATCGGTGCTCTTTACACTGCAAGGTCTCTCCTCTAACTGCTATTCCTGGGGGTGGTGCTGGAGACAGGAAGGGGGGTGAGGAGTTAAACAGCACAGTGTTAAAAACATTAAAAGCTTAAGTCACCATAAAGCCCCTTTCGTTTCTAAAAGCCCCAGAAATTCCTAAAAGCACCTCAGATTTAAATATGGTTTTGGATAAAAAAAAATCTTTTTTATCAGGACAAGTAGATTGTCATGAGGGACAAGTAGACTGGGACCACGATTTCGTCCCTTGGACAAGTAGTTTCTAAAAAAATGTGCCCCTCCTACTGCTTCTCTGGATTCTAACTGCAGTTGCTAGCTGTCCAAATGACAGCTGGGACTTGTAGATAGCAGATACAGGAGCAGCTGCTGTCAAACAGGAAGTATCTGAGCAGTATTTGTAAATTATGATCAAAAATACAAAGTAATAGTACTACTTTTTAATTATTCTGTTATATTAATATAAAGATCAAAAGCATTAAGAGTGCGCCCAAAGTATCCACCCCTTTGGGTGTTTTTTTTTTGTTTTGTTGCATTACATCCTGAAATTAATTTTTTTTTTTGCAGGCTTTGTACTATTTGATGCACATACCATGCCTACAACTTAGAAGGTGCAATATACTTTTTATTGAGGCACAAAGAAAAGCAAGAATCTTGATTTTGCATAAATGTTCACCCCACACCCTTCTCCTCAAAGTCAATACTTTGTGAAGCCACCATTTGCTGCAATTACTGTACAGCTACAAGTCTTTTGGAGTATGTCTCTATTGTCCTAGCACATCTAGCCATCACTGGAATTTTTGTCCATTCTTTAAAAAGTAAAACTGCTCCACCTCCTTCAAGTTATATGGGTTGCATTGGTGTACAGCAATCTTCAAGTCACAAGTCATGCCACAGATTCTCCGTTGGATTGAGGTCTAGGCTTTGAATAGGCCATCCAGGTCATTAATTTGAAGTAACAATATATAAAGAAAACATATGGAGTGACGCTTCATCATGGTGACTGCTAATAAATGCTCTTTTTGAAGTGTACTTCTATGACTGCATAGGGTTCATTCACATGTTTATGTGCATAGTACGTAGGTGGTTTATCCCTTTAGGCTCTTGCAAGATCCAAAAGCCAAGTGTGCCAGTTGGTGGAACCTATTTAAATCAAACCCTATTGTATTTATCCTTGATTTCCACCCTGGAATTTCATTGCATATTTAGTAATGTAGTAATATTTAGTTATGCTGGGTGTTCAGCATATATTGGACCATTGGTTTCATTGATATGGTCCTCAGATTAACATTCTAGCAGAATCATTATATTTCTATAGTAATCTTATATTAGTATTCGTTGGAATTGTAGTTAGGAAGGAACTCACAAGTAGTCCATTTAATTGTTTACTTTTTGCACTCAATATAATTTGATTGTATATATATTATATTCTGGGTAACAGTATTATGATTGAAACAGTTCATTATCATTTTGATTTTCTTTTATTACTACTGAGTTTGCTGCCCTACTCAATAGCTCCTCTCAGGGTGTACGTTTAATATTTGAAATTGTGGGCTACGGTTTAGGGGCACAATCATGGAATACAGATTTTATTTGTACATTGCTGATTTTTGGTTTTGTGTTTGTGATTTATTGTGGGACACCTAAAGCTCTTTATATTTCATCATCATGCATTATCGTGGGGATAGCATTTTCAGGGTGATGTTTGTGCCACAGGCAGCTTTTCCCATGATGGCAAAAAAGTTCAGGTTTAGGTTCATCTGACCAGAAGACACTTCTTTGATGTGTTTGGTGAACTCCAAAACATGCATTCCTATTTTTCTTTAGGCAATACCTTCCTTTTGCATAAAGTTTGGGATTTTTTTTTTTTTTTTTTAAGATCAAACCCTGATCTGTACTTCTCCACTTTACCTCTGACCAGTCTGGAGAGCTACTTGGTCTTCTTGTTGCTTGCCTAATGGTGTTGCAGACTCAGAGGGCTTTCAGAACCAGTATTGTATTTATGCTGACATTTGACACTTTGATTGCACACAGGTGGACCTTATGTATTGATCTAATTACAGGACTTCTGAACCAAACTGGTTTGACCACATCTTATTTAAGGTTTTCATAGATAAGGGGGTGAATACTTATTGCACACTCAAGATTTCAGACTTCTTTATCCTAATATTTGTGTCACAATAAAAAATATTTAGCACTTTAAGTAGACATATTGTGTACATCAACTGGTATAAAGCCCAAAAAAAACATTTAATTCAAGGTTGTTAATGCAACAAAACAAGAAAGAACATTAAAGGGGTGAATACTTTCACAACCCACTGTACCTTTTAATTCATGTGAGGTGCTGGCAGCCAGTTATTGGGTAAGAGTGAGAATTAAGAGCACAGAAAAATGTGTATTATTACTAATTTGAACAAAGTTTAATAGAGACTTAAGTCCAAAAATGCAAAACCCTACATGTAGGATCTGGATGTCAATAGTGAACCAATATTTTTTTCCATTGACTGTGGAAGAAAAGGAATGGGAGCTCAATATCTGTAGCTCTACTAAATGTGCAGTTTATTAAAAGGAAAAAAAACTATTTACCTTGCGGTTTCACAAGATGCACCCATAGGTGGAAACTCTTCCAAGTTGTTTATATTTAAATGAGATGCAGGAGGACTACAAGTATTTATACACATTTTCTTTTTGTTTGCACTCCATGTGTTACTTTCTCCCTGTAATTCATTTTCAGTCAATCTTCTACTTTGGTCTTTAGGCACATGACGGCCGGATGAATTGTTCTTTTTCCGACCACGGCGAACCGTCTGTCCTTCAGGCGTCAACACCAAGAAGTTGCCAAGAACTGGTTTCTGCGCTGAGCGTTTTTCATTGTGATGTGCAATAGGACTGCAACTTGAAGTTGGACTAGATTGAATAAAAGCTCTGCTTGAAGAGTTTGTTAGGTTGGATCTGTTCATAACAGAGGAGTCACTGTTTGTTGAATTTGGAGAAGCGAACCATAGTTCTGAAGCGCCAGGACTATTGGGAGATTGAGCAAACAGCTGTACTCTACTTCCCCGATGACCTGAAGGCTGGCTCGGTCTCTTCTCTAGGATAGTCCTTTGGCTACTGGAGCTAACTGGTTTGGGGACAGTCTTAGAATTTGGGGTTTTTGCTGGAGTTGAAGGTCCATTACTTAAAACCTCGCTGGTCTGCTCCCGAAGAAAGTTGAGCAGATAGGGGACAAAGTCTTTCCGTAAGAAATGAAGCGGAGCAAGGTTGATATCAACAGGACTCTCCTAGCAATCAAACATCAACAGTCAAAAAAAACAAAAACAAACAATTCAACTTTCTTTTTTGTCTATTCTAATAATAAATTCAGTACAAGTTAAAGCAATATTAGAGGCTAATTTTTTTAGTTAAAAAATATGTTTTATGTACCTGCTCTGTGCAATGGTATTAAACAAAGCAGTACCTTACTTCCGTTTTGGAAGTCCCCTACCACTGTTCTCCGCTCCTCTTTCATGTGGGTGCCCCGTCAGCAAGGGGGCGCACGTACCCATGCGCTCCCTAGCCTGGCTGTGCGTCTGTAGACACACACAATGCGGATTATTTACCTCCACCACTCACTCCTTGAAGAATTTGACTGACAAAAGCAGGAGCACATGGCTCCCACTGCTATCAGTGTCTACTGTGAGACAAGGAGCAAGGAGCAGCTGGGCTGCAGACAGGACAGTGCTGGATCGTTGGAGATGTCAGGTAAGTGTTTAGGGGTGGGGAGTTATCACAAGGAGCAGTGGACATATTTTACCTTGAGTTAAATGTTTTGACTTTAGAACCACTTTAACCCTTTCGCTGTCAGGCCCTGCGCTCCACTTTTAAACTCAGCTGGTCGGACCATTTGTGCAATTTTACCCTTGATTTTTTATTTTTCAAAGTTTGTAAAAGACCCCCCAAACCAAATTTTCTGAAAGCACATGGATGTGTAGAATAAAAAGAAGGGGCTACGGTTTTTAAGACCCCATGATATTTGCACAAATGTGCATCAAAGCAATCTTTTTACTGAAAATGCACTACAATCATTATTGGCAGATAAAAACAAATAATTTTTCAAAAGTCCTGCTAAATATAAAAGCTTAACCTGTATTGAGTTAAAACAAATATTTGTAAATTTTATATTGCACCTTTTTGCAAAATGGTGAAAATCAAACATATGCCAAAAAAAACGTAAACCAAATTTCTCTAAAAATCTGGAGGTTATAATTTTTCTCTTACAGCTTTCAAAGTTTATAAAAGACACCCAGACCATATATTTTCTGAAAGCACACGAACAGTAGAATAAAAAGAAGGTTCTATGGTTTTTAAGGCCACATAATATTTGCGCAAATGTTTATCAAATTTGCTATTTTAAAAACACTAATATCCCTATTTGCACTCAAACAGAGCATAACTTACGAAACTCTTGCCAAATTCGTAGTAAGTCCTTGTTCACATGGGGTATACCAAAGAGTGCACCCATGGAGGGCCATGTTTACTTGCACAGGGATGCAACAGGTGTTCTGTGCATCCCTGTGCAGGAAGCCCTATACATGTCAGTTGGGACACAGCCCCTGCAAGGACAGATCTGACATCGGTGTGGGTATAGATGCATGGCTCTAAATGCAGACATTGTGAGTTCAGAGACATGCACCCACATGGATGAAGTTGGGAATAGTTGCTGTGTCCCTGCAGCCGCTGCATCCCAAATTGATATGGATGGGATTGCTGACATAGGAATGCATGGAACACCTATGTATTCCCAAGCAAATGCTGTGTCCAAACTGACATCAATGGGATAGACTGCATTAGGATACACAGAACATCTGTATATCCCTGTGCAGCTCAACATGGCCTCACTGTAGTATGCTCAACGTGAACGGTGCCTTAGGCCTTTCTTGCACTCGCAGTGGGGGGGGGGGGGGTGTCAGCAAAAATGCACAGTTGAGCTGTATTTCTGCCGCCAACCAGCCCTCATGAGCTGCAATTGGCAGCAGAAGGGGTTGTTTAAATGCTGCGGCCGCAATACTTTGCGTCCATGGCACAGTTGACTCGACTTTTGATGATGTTGCATTTCACAGTTGACTCAACTTGTGATGATGTTGCCTTTCAAACGCTACATATTCGAGTTTGAGAAAGCGTCACAAAGGCCCCACAACTGCAACTGATTTTTTCAGCAAAAATGGGGTTAAAACAGGTGGTGAGGAGGCATCGAATTGCTTCCTCACCACCTGTCAGTAGCCTCTGGAGCGTGAACAGAATGTGGATCGGGCTTCAACAGCAGGGAGATTTAGATACATGTCTAAATCTATCCTTACTAGGTTTTTTAATTTTAATTTTAATATTTTCACATTTTTTTTATTTTTTTTTTTGAGGGGGTTGGAGAGACGTCAGGGGTCTAAACAGACTGTTCTATTCATTCACAAACTGACACATAGTAAACACAGATGGGGGGGCACTGGAGTTCAGTGATCTTTAAAACATTGTGTGTACCGTATTTTCCGGCGTATAAGACGACTGGACGTATAAGACGACCCCCTACTTTTCCTGTTAAAATATAGGGTTTGAGCTATACTCACCGTATAAGACTACCCCTCTTCCAACGCACACCAAATAAAAATGAAAAAACATCAGATTTGATTTCAATATGGTATGGTATTTCAGTATGGTATTCCAATGATGGGGTGCTATTCCTCCCACTGACACCAATGATGAGGCATTACTCCTCCCACTGACACCAATGATGGGGCACTATTTCATCCACTGACACCAATGATTTGGCACTATTCCTCCTACTGATACCAATGATGGGACACTATTCCTCCCACTGACACCAATGATGGTGCCCCATCATTAGTGTCAGTGTGTAAGGAATAGTGCCCCATCATTAGTCAGTGGGAGGAATAGTACCCCATCATTAGTCAGTGGGAGGAATAGTGCCCCATCATTGGTGTCAGTGGGAGGAATAGTGCCCCATCATTGGTATCAGTGGGAGGAATAGTGCCCCATCATTAGTGTCAGTGGGAAGAATTGTACCCCATCATTGGTGTCAGTGGAAGGAATAGTGTCCCATCATTAGTGTCAGTGGGAGGAATAGTGTCCCATCATTGGTGTCAGTGGGAGGAATAGTGCTCCATCATTGGTGTCAGTGGGAGGAATAGCACCCCATCATTGGTGTCAGTGGGAGGAATAGCGCCCCATCATTGGTGTCAGTGGGAGGAATAGCGCCCCATCATTGGTGTCAGTGGGAGGAATAGCGCCCCATCATTGGTGTCAGTGGGAGGAATAGCGCCCCATCATTAGTGTCAGTGGGAGGAATAGCGCCCCATCATTGGTGTCAGTGGCAGGAATTGCGCCCCATCATTGGTGTCAGTGGGAGGAATAGCGCCCCATCATTGGTATCAGTGGCAGGAATTGCGCCCCATCATTGGTGTCAGTGGGAGGAATTGCGCCCCATCATTGGTGTCAGTGGGAGGAATTGCGCCCCATCATTGGTATCAGTGGGGAGAATAGTGCCCCATCATTGGTGTTAGTGGGGAGAATAGTGCCCCATCGTTGCTGTCAGTGGGGAGGAGGAATAGTGCCCCATCGTTGGTGTCAGTGGGGAGGAGAAGTAGTGCCCCATCGTTGGTATCAGTGGGAGGAATAGTGCCCCATCGTTGGTATCAGTGGGAGGAATAGTGCCCCATCGTTGGTGTCAGTGGGAGGAATAGTGCCCCATCATTGGTGTCAGTGGGGGAGGAATAGTGCCCCATTATTGGTATCAGTGGGGAGGAGGAATAGTGCCCCATCATTGGTATCAGTTGGTGTCAGTGGGGGAGGAACAGTGTCTCAGTGTCATCGTTGGTGTCAGTGGGGGAGGAACAGTGTCTCATCGTTGGTGTCAGTGGGGGAGAGGAGCGGCTGCTCCTTCTTCCAGTTCGGCCGCTCGATTTTCGCGGGGCCGCTCGGCTCCGCCTCCTCGCCGGTGATTGGTCGCCTGTGTGCCTTTCCAGTGCTGGCGCCCAATCACCGGTGAGGAGGCGGAGCCGAGCGGCCGCGTGACCATCGAGCGGCCGAACTGAAAGAACGAGCAGCCGCGCTTCCTGGACCGGATCGTCTTGGGACCGGAGCCAGGTAAGGTACAGCAGCCCCTCTGTCCACCCCTGTACTTAGTGTCCGTTGGAGGAGGAGGGGGGGCGGCGCCGCGCCGCCCCTCGAAAAAGTGCCACCCTGACACCGGCTCGCACCGGCGTATAAGACGACCCCGGACTTTTCAGAAGATTTTCAGGGGTTGAAAAGTCGTCTTATACGCCGGAAAATACGGTAATTGCCGGCAGGAGAGGCAGCATGGGGAAGCCAGGAACTGCATCAGCATATGGACCTGGCCTGCTGAAAGCAGTGCTGTAGGTCCACACACCGTACAGACCTAGCAGTGAAAGGGGTAAAGCTCTCAAATGTGGCTTGAATATGGGAGACAAAAAAATGGTATCATTTAAATGCAAGACTGTTATGACAAAACTTTTTTTTTTTTTTTTCTCAAGACATTAAGATGGTAAACAAAGTCAAAACAGTTTCAAATAAAATGAACAGACCATGAAGTAAATTATTATTATACAGTATTTATTATACAGTATTTATACAGCACCAAAAATACAATAAAATTGTTGCCAACTATCTCCAACTTGAATATATAAGTGGAAGCACACCCCCTATGATTATGTGCGGTTAGCACGAAACACGTCAGGAGGAGCTACAGCGTTGTGACATTACGCCGTCGGCACCACGTGCAACTGTTTCTTTTTCCCTGTACTACTGCCTTTGAATGGAATAAAAATGCCTATGCTTAAACGGTATCACACTATTGGCTTCCTCTTTCTCTGGGCTCTTTGTGAGTCATCAACAACCCACAGAGCCATATTGAGGAGGAAGTGAGGCCATATTGCCAGCAGAGGAGAGCAGTGAGGGGAACACCTGACCAGACCAGATTTATACGGGAGCCTGGAGCGTGTCCTACAAGAGCATTGTCTCTACATGCGTAGATTGACTGTGCATCTGGTCAGTGCACAGCCTTATCATATATACCGGTCACTTCACCATCTGATTTGATACGGAGCACCTATTGCTGGAGATATTCCAATCTCCTATACTCACATTTGAACTATCTATTCCATCATCATTGTTCACCACGAGTCACTCCTACAGTGACGGAATATATGATATCACTGAAGTCACTTTATATGTTGGCACCTTGTCACAAGTCACTTTATGTATTTTATATAAT